GGGAAAGATGATTGACTATAAGATCGGCAGTATAAGCAGCTCTCAGTGCAGGGCCGTGTGTGGTGTTGACTGCATGCCCAGCACTGTGCTAAGTGTCTTACACACAGTATTTCACTTAATCCTTAAAATGGTCCTGTGAGGTAGGCACTGTGCTTCTCCCCATTTTCTAGGTATGGAAATTGAGGCCCAAGGAAGTTAGTTAATGGCCATGAAAGGCTTGGGATGGCATTGTGCAGACCAGAGCTGGATATGACCTGCCTTCCAGATGGTAAGCTGGGGCAGAAAGGAGGGGAGGAGAGACTACCTCGGAGAGATAAGGTCAGGTTGTCACATCCTCATGGCCCCACACATGTGCAGCTCAGTCTGCAGGGTGCCGGGGTGTCCTTGCAGCACGCTGAGGCCTTGGTCTGTTCTAGATAGGATTCTGCCTAGTCTAGGAACTTCCCCTAGTATGGGGGAGCCACAGCAGCTCCTGAGGGTCCTTGAGAGGCAGGGGGCCAGCCAGAACCTTGCCCTAGCAGTTTTTACAGAAGAGCATGTTGACTTTAAAAAGTATCAAAGTGGCCTCAGCAGCCTCACAGTCCAGAGGGACAGGAAAGATGTTGGGGGTGTGGAATATAGAGGCTTTGAACCAAAGGGCACAGCAGTGATAGTGCAGGCCCAGGGAAGAAGTGGCCGTGGCTGTGCCTGCGCATCTAGTGGATGGCGTATGTCACGGATAGGTCAGTTGGAAGGATGCTCAGAGATCTTCCAGGGTAGCCCCTCACTGCAGATGTGACACCACATGCGTTGGACGAGGTCTGTTCCTCATAGCGATAGAGGATGGGACCTGAAGGGACTCCCCTTAAAGCAGGAGCGGCCAGCATTAGCTAAGGGTAGTCTGGTGGCAGTAGAGGCAGGTGCAGCCACAGGCATGCTGCACACTTAGCCCATCTCTACCGTCAGCTGCATCCATGCTGGAGTCAGTTGCCACAGGGGCACTGCCCCCAATCCTTTTGATGCTGCTTTCCATGTCTGGGAAATGGGCATGATAGTGCTATCTGCCTTGTAGTGCTGCTGTGAGGATTAAATGGGATAGTCTGCTTGAGGTGGGGAGTAGGTGCTTGGCATGGTAAATGTTCAGAAATGCTAACTCATTACTACCATCTTGGCAGTCTTCAGGAAAAGAACAAGCAACTCTGCTCTGGATGGCTTTAGAACAGCAGTTTTCTTGTTAATGAGAATAATCTTAGGTTATTATTCAAGAAAGAATCTAGAGAGAGGCAAGGAAAGAATTCTAGAGAAGAATCTAGAGAGTATAGTTTGAAAAAGCAAGCAAAGGCAATATAATTTTATTTTGGGAAAATGAAAACAATTCCTAATTTGGTGAAACAGACTATAACATGAGTAGCTGGTGAGACCTGGGATACAAAGGCATGAAAAACATATTTTTCATCATTTGGGGTCAGTAGCCTCACAGAAGGGAAGCCAGGGGCCACTTCCTTGTCTCCTTGAGGGGCCTTAGTGAGAACAGACCTGGGACAGACCACTTTAAAGTCCAGGTACCATACTGGGACAGTGAGGCCATGGAGGGACTTTGCAGGACTGGGTGGTGCCTTATATCCTTGTCAGCAGCGTGGAGAGGACTCAGTGTGGGATGGCCTGGAAGACAGATTGTCCGTTGTAGAATTGGATGCTTGGTTAAAAAGATGCCCTCCAGTTCGTTCTCAGGCACCCAGTGGGAGGGGAGGGCAGCAGGTTCTGCTACAGCCCTGGTAACCTGCTGGGGCAGACCTGGGACAGACTGCCAGCTCCACAGCCTGGCTTGGGTTGAGGGTTCTGTCAAGCTTTTCATGGTTTTATAGTGATAGGGAACAGCTTCCAGTGAGCCCTGGAAGACCTTGAACCAACTGGCTGTGGTTTCTGGGGTCTTCAGGATTTGTGGTGGTTGATCACCTGCTCTCAGAGCTGAAGCCAAATGAAGCCTCATTTTCACCCCTTTGTCTCCATGGAGCCTTAGAGGAACCCTTTTGAGAGGCTCTGGCCCCGGCATCTATCCTGTAGCTTGTGGCTCTAAGGTCATAATACTTAAGTTTATTGGGTGCTGTGCTAGGCAACATGCTGAGGAGTTGTCAATAAAAAGGCCTCAAGCCTCTTAATTTGTGTCCTGGTCCTTGCACTAACCTGGAGAGCCAGATCTCCCCAGCGCTCTCCTCATGGCAGTCCCCGATACTAGGTCCTATCATTAACTCCATTTAACTGAAGAGTAAATGGAGGCCTGGGAGGGTTGGGTAACCTGCCAAAGGTCACACAGCTAGTAAGCCGTGGAGGCAGGATGTGAATGGCGCCACAGGGGCTTGCAGATCCAAGAGAAACTGGGTGAGCATCGCAGCTCTGGCTGTCTTTATTCCCTCTGCTCTGCCTTGCCCACACGCACTGCAGGAGCTTCTGAGCCACTGAGCTAACGCTGCCCACCCAAAGCCCTAGCGGAGTGTGCTCAGCCTCCAGGGGAACAGAGGCAGCCTTGTGGTGGGAGCTCCCCTCTGCTCCAAGCAGCCCCTCCACCTTTCCTGGCTGGGTTTGTTTCCATACTCCAGAGCCGCACATTCCATTCTCTGGCACAGCTGGAGGCTGGGGATTCTGGATTCCCCCGGCTGCCTGCTTTCTTCAAGGCCTCAGAACAGCCTGCCGTCAGGGCTGGGACACTGGGTCCCAGCCACACACATTCCAGCAGCAGCCACCCCCCACGTTGGATTTCCCAAGGAGCGAACTTTAGCCAGGATTACAGCCGACTAAACAGTTGTGGGATGAGAGCTTCCTTTGTGGCCCCAAGAGGCTGGATGCTGACGGGCTGAGGCAGGGGGTGAGGGGGTGGCTGCTGGGTGTTGGTTGGTCCAGGGCTGGCTCTTCTGCCACTGTCAGGACCTTTGGAGCAGGATCTGAGCAGGGCTCCCAGACATCTTCCTGTGAGGCAGGGTGGCAGAAGCATGGTGGCCTATATATACACCTGCACATCCCCTTCTACCTCCCCACCACCTGTCTCTGGCTTCTTGGCTTTGCCCAATGAAGGTAGTAGTACAGTTAAGAGTGTGGGGTCAAGTCCTAGTAAGGCCACTATGTACAAGCTCTGTGTACTTCAACAAGTTCATTAACCTCTCTGAATCAGCCTCACCATTTAAGTGTTATTAATGATATCTTCTTCAAGGGGCTATTGGGAGGCTTAAATTAGAATGCCAAAGAGCTTCAAATAGTGCCTGCTACCCAGCCTGGGCTTGTTATTTCTTAGCGTTCTATGTCTTCTCCCCTGTATTGGCTTACACAGCACCTAGGGATTTATTTTCTGAAGTAAAACCCCAAATGTGGGTTCTAGCCTGTCTTGCCAATGAGTTTCAGCCCCTAGCAAGTTCACTATTGATTCAGTGTGACCAAAGAAATGACAGTAGAACATTCTTGGGGTGAAAGGGCTATACCCAACTTTATTTCCACAGTGGCAGGTCAATCACTAAAATCCTGTTCACTCAGAGTGAGTCTGCATGCAGCAAGCCGGTCTCTGCCTGCACATTCATACTGCACAGCCATCCTCCTGGCCTCTGTCCTCAGCGCTGCCACAACTCCAGCCTCTGCTCTGCTCTCCTGCACCCTTGCAACCATGCTACAGAGCACTGGGCAGAGCTCTTTATACAGAGTCAATAATGACGCATTGCCCACACACGTGTTGTGAGCAAGCTGACCAGGGCCAGGTGAGAATCCTGGCCACAGGAACTTTCATTTTACCCACATAGCCCCTTTCTGAAAGTAACAATTCTGGCTTTTAGATGAGATGTTCCTGTCTTTTCCATGCCTTCCTGCCAGTAGTGTTTCTTAGTTGGTTAACAAACAAATTAGGAATTTATTGAGCACCTATTATGTGCAGGCACTATGCTATGTTAAGGCCTTTGGTTAATCAAAATAGTAATTACCATCTAATTACTAATAAATATCTTCTAAATGCTGGGCATTGTTTCCAGGTACTTTTCATACATTTCCCTACTTAACACTCAGCCACCTTGTTAAGCAGACATTATTGCTTCATTTTACAGCTGTCAATGTTCCCAGTATCATATGGTCACTGAATCACAAGATTGGAACCCATAACTGGGCGCTACTGCCTCTTCTTGCCCCATCCTGGGTGTTCAGCGGCCTGCCCCAAATCCTTTTGTCTTCATTAGAACTCTGAATTTGTACCCAGCTGAAACACTTGATTTCCTCTGCTCCTTTGCAACTAGGGGTGGCCATGTGACTTAGTTCTGGCTGGCGAGCTAGAAGTGGAAATCTGCCAGGTGGGACTTGTTGGGAAATTACTGTTTTCCTGATTAAAAGGACCAGAGGCAGCTGACATGCTGCTTTTGTTTAGCCTCCCCCCACCTTGCTGCCTAGAATGTGGTTGAGAGGTGGGGAGGAGGAGGCGCCATCTGTAACCTTAAGAACAAAAGCCGCCCCTTGGCAGCAGGAAGACACAGTGAGTCTGGATCTGGACCTCCCACCTCTCCTCCTCCCTCCAGGCTTCTTGTGTGGAGAAGCCCTGTTTCTTGGGGTTTTTAGTCCACACAGTCAGATGCAGCTGTTCACCGATTCGCATCCTGGGTGCTTGCTGAACAGTACTAGCTGCCTGACTCCAGGCAGGCCGGGTGGGAGTGTTTCCTGACCGAAGGACATGAGGGCTGGGCTCAGGCCTTGCAGAGCCTTCCTGGTCTTTGGGAGGATTCTTCTTGGTCTTAGGGAAGAGACTGCTGGGGGGTCTGACAGCAGATTTGGGGGACAGAGCTGATGCCTTTGTGAAGGGTGGGTGAGCAGTGCCTGACTGGAGCTTCCTGCGAGGAACTAAGGAAGCGCTGGCCAGCTGCCCCCACGCCCTCTCCTCTCCCTCCCTGTCCTCTCCCCTGCCCTCTCCCTCTCCCCTCCCTCCCCTCCCCTCTCCCTTCTCCCCTCCCTCCCCTCCCCTCTCCCTTCTCCCTCCCCCTTCCCCTTCTCCTTCCCCCTCTCCCTTGCTGCCAGCACCTGACAGAGGTCAGTATTATGTTCTGGCCAGAGGCAGCCTGAGTCCTGTATGTTCAATGGAAAAATAATCCCTGCTCCTAGTTGACCATAGAAGTATCTGTAAATATTTGGTCGGGGTAGGAGGCTGGAAGACAAGGGGCAGATTCAGGGAGCCAGGTAGGCTGGGCAGCGCTCGGGGAGGGTGGGTGGCAGAGGCTTCCTTAGGGGTGAGGAGAAACAAGCAGGCCTCTGCCGCCCCTGGCCTGTGGTGAGGCCACCTGACTGCCCAGGGAGTGATTTATGGGCGGGCTGTCAGACCACCTGTTGGCTCACACAGGCTCCGCAGCAGAGTTTGGGCCCTCGGCCTTGTTTGAATCTCTGTAGCAGCTTGCTCCTCTGAGACCTGCAGAAGCCAAGGCTCTCCTCACTTTGAGAGAGCGTGGCTCCATTGTTGGAGTAGCAGGCCTTGACTGGACTTGGCAAGCCAGCTGTATCTCCACTGGTGAGGAAGCCTCTCTGGGGGTGTCCTCAGCCCCCTGCTCTGGGCACATCTGCCCTGTCCTTGGCATCTGCTGATGGACACCCCACACCCCACCACTGCCAGGGACTTTCCCTTGGCGCCATCCCCTCCAAATGCTGGACATTTGAGTGACAGCAGCCTGGTGTCTATGTTTCAAGCCTTCTCTCATCCCTGCTCCATCTAGCAACCTCCACTGCTCTGGGCACACTGAAGAAAGAAGCCGCTGCATTATAGCTGGTCCCCTCCCTGTATGCAGGACTAAGACCCCTCCAGCCTGAGGTAATCCTAGCCCCTCACCCTCCTGCCTCTGCTGTGGCTCCTCTAGATTGAGGTTCTCAACCCTAGCAGCACACATGCCACGAAGCATCTAGAAATGCTGATTTCTGAGCACCCTGCAGAGGTTTGGATTTAATCGTTTTAGATTGGAGCCAAGTATTTTGTAAAGTTCGCTAGATAACTTGAAGCTTTACATGTTAAAATGCAGACTCTGATACTGCACGTCTGGGGTGGGGCCTGAGCTGTGTTTTTAACCAGTTCCCAGGTGAAATGCTCTGCGCCAGGAACCATGGTTAGAGTGGCATTGGTCTACACCATTGTCTCCCACAAGTCAGGACTGGTGCCCAGGGGTATTTGTGTGCTGAAGGGGGAATTGTGACCCATTTAGGCCTGTGGCTCTTCCGAGTAGTTCCCTGCAGCCCAGCCTTGTTGGGCTCTTCGGAGCAGGCATTGTACACATTGGAGAGATGCATCAGGGCTGTGGGAGCCTTCTGACCATGGGAGAAGGCTGGGAAGTTTGGCAGCTCTGTCCCCGCTCAGGGACTGAAGGATGGTCATCTTCATCCCTTATTTAGTCGGGGGATAAGAAGGGCAACCCTTGCTCTCAGAGATTGTACAAAAACACGGGCATCTCTCAGGCATTCCAAGTATGACAGTGGACAGGCGGCTGTGACAAGGGCCTCTTGAACCTCTGGGGAACCAGCTGATGAAGAACTCACCTGGTCAGAAACAACGGTTGTTTCCTTTGATTTAATTAAAAATTTAGGGGAACCCCCCCCAGACCCTACCTGTATCAGTCTGGTACCTATGCCCCCCCCCCAAAGTAGGAATAATTTACTCATCCTCAGAATAAGAGGAATATGCAGAGGCTGAGGAATGAACTCCAGGAAGTGAGCCTATGGGAGGGGGCCTGGGCTGGGTTTCTCTCCAGTCCAGTGGGAAGGGAAACAGGCAGAGATGAGGACGTGTGGCTGGAGGGCAATGTGACTCTAACACCCTTCCTTGGAGTAAGGACATGTGAGGGGGCAGAGAGCTGTCCCCCAAGAGGCTCAGCTTAATATCAAGACTTCTCTTCAGGACGAGGTCCCACCGGCAACTGAGGAGCAGACACCACGGTCTGCTCTGGAAGCCATCTTCTCAGGCTGCTCAGAGCCCCTCCCTGCTCCCTTCACTCTCTCCTTCCTTTGCTCTCTTTCTGAGACCCTGGGGTTTCCCCCCACATGAGAAAGCCCTGCTCCTAAGAGACAAAGCCCCCAAGGACCCCAGAACCCAAGTCAGAGACAGCCCAGGCTGCGTGCTCATCCCTTAGGGCCTGTGCAGGTAACACCTCTGCATGAACCCACTCTCCGGCAGGGGCTGGGTCAGCCTGGGAGTAGGGGTTGGGGCAGGTTGGCAGGAGAGAGTGCACCCCAGGGGCAGAGACAGTGGGCAGGGCACAGCTGGCTGGGTAGGGCGGGGAGGAGCACCCTTCAGTGGGGTTCAGCAGCCCCATAGAAGAAGGGGTAGTAAAGGGAGCAGGGGTAGGAGAACATGAATTTGACTGCGAACTTCATCTCCTTATTCTTCTTGTCCCAGCGGTAGATGGCCATGAGCAGTAGCTGTCCATCCACTTTGCGGCCCATGACCAGGAAGCTGCCAGCCAGGCTGTCCAGCTGTGGGCAGGGGCAGCTGGCGCCATTCTTCATGTGCAGCAGCAGCCTCTTGGTGTCCTTGCGCTTCAGGGGACCCGGCTTGAGCAACTTCTTCTTTTTCTGGGCTCCAATCAGTTTCCGGTCCCCATTCTCTATCTTGATCTCCTTGATGCGCATCTTGAGCACTGTGTGTGTTGGGCGGTGGACAGAGGTACAGGGTGAGCACAGTCAGGCTTGTTCAGGATGTCGGTGGCCCCATGTTGGTGTTTCTGCCTGAAGTCCCATATAGATGTACATTTTAATTTTAATATTTATGAAGCTCCTGTCATGTGCTGGACCTTCACAGACACGAGCACATTTCATTCTCTAGGTTTGGGGGGTAAATGAGTGTGGAGAGGTTGTGGCTGGCCTGAACTCTAGAGGAGGGATTGACCCGAGGATTGGCTGGCTCCAGAGCCTGTGCCTTCGCACCAAGCACAGCCTCCCCAAGGAGAAAATACTGGGGGTGGAGCTGACTAGTTGGAGGGGAGTTAGCAGAGAGAGTCCTTGGGAGGGAGGGAGGCTGGACTTCATGCTTTCTGGGGATGCTTCCAAATGGGATTTCTGTGTGTGTATGTGTGAGTATGTGGGTGGCTAGAGCGGTGGTGGGATGGTACAGCTCGACAGCTGGCTCTGTAGAGGGGCCCTGCTCTTTACCACGTGCTGGTTTCCATGGGGTGACCCACCACATACTGAATGCAGGGTTGGGAAGTGCTATGCACAACTAGCTCGGGATGGTGTGAAGACACCACTGTGATCTGTGTGAGACTGTACAGTGTGGGAGGGAGTATGGGTGTGTGGTGCTGCGTTTTTATGCAGGAGAGTATATTTGTAGTGGTGTCGGGGGCAGTGGAGGGCGGTAGTTGAAGGCCAGAGAGTGTCAGAGTATGGCCATCCGGGGTGTGCTGAGGGGGCCGCAGAGAGCCTAATGGGCTGGGGGCGGGGAGTCCTCAGTTTGGCAGGGAGTCACTTAAACTAGTGCCCCCTCTTCTTCAGGCTTCTGGGCCCCCAACTCAGCAGCCAGGGAAGAGCCAGAGAATAACTACCCACTGAAGGACATTATTATGAAATCTCTTTCCTTTGCTCTCTTTTCTGCCCCTACTCCCTCTTTTTCTCTGTTCAGCACACACACCCTGCAATAGTAGCATTCTCTTTCCAGACAGACTAACTATATAAAAGACCTGCTGAAGTAAGGATTTCATCACTCTCTTTTTTATAGACAGGGAGGCTAAGATGCAGAACAGGAGCTGACTTGGCATAGATCACATGCTGGGCTCTGTGGTCCATGTAGGAGCCAGGTCTTGACTAGACTTGGCTCAGCTATCCTGGGAATGGGGAGGCTCCAGGATAAAGTTGTGGGACAGTTGAGGCAGCTCCCCTGGCCACAGGTGCCCAGGGATGAGGGGGCTGCACTTCTCTCTTGGAGCCCCTCTCTCCCCTATGCTGCCCCATCCATCTCCAGGTTAAGCCTGCTATCTCAAAGAGAATCCAGCCCTGGAGGCCCTGTGTGACAGCACCAAAAGAGACCTAGCCAGGGATGGTTTTTGAGGCCCATGGCCCTGAGGGACTTCTGAAGCCCCTGAGACAACCTGCAAAAAGAGGTGCACTTCTCTGGGGAGAGGGTTCATGGTTACCATCAGATTCCAAAAGGGGTCCATGATGCGATAACTGTTAGGATTCACTGTGCTGGGTGTGAGCACATCTGTGTATGTCAAGGAGGAGGGATTGGGGGTGGCATCAGGGCAATGGCTGGGTGGGCTCCATGCTCACCAAAATCGCTGGAACACATCTGCTCCATGAGGCCGTCAGCACTGTGCTCTATCTCACACTGGGCGCAGATCTTGGTCACTGAGGAGAGAAGCAAGGGTGGGATCACCGGAGGGAGGCTGGTGAGGGGATCTGAGTTCAAAGAGCTGCTTAGTGTGCAGGCCTCCCCACTGATGACCCCCCTTCCCTGCCAAGCCTCAGCTTCCTCATCAGGAAATGGGATGATAACACCACCTGCTCAAGAGAGGTTGTGAAGCTCAAAAGAGAAGTCTGTGCAGGACAAAACTGCCCATGTGGGCATGATTGCCCTGTGACCCTGGCAGCTGCAACCATGCTGTGTACTGGTGTCTTCTAAATTTCATCTCATTTAACCCTCAGTCTGTGAAGTAGGAATAATAATCTGTTCCTTTTTCAGAGAAAAGGGAATGGAGGCCCAGAGTGGCTCCCCAAGTCCACAGAGCTAGTGTGAACTGAGCTTAGAACTCAGGATTTGTGACTCCCAGGCTAGTGCTGGGGTGGCAGAGTCTGCAGGGTCTTTGTAGGAACACAGGGTGCAGGCAGGTGGGTAAATGATTGATGCTGGCAGGGCAGGGACTGTAATAAATGGAGGAGCAACCCTCTCTAAAGTGGGCAGCTTTGCATTGCCCAAAGACTTCAAGGAAAGCTAGAACTCCTTATTTTTCTGTGAAATAGTCTCATCTGTTTGCCACACAAACAGTTCTGGCTGCCTGTGGTCATCAGGCCACCACACAACACCTGACCTCGGCCCCCCTATGCCTGTGCCTCTAGGTAGGCACCCATCATGGGGGCATGGGTGTTTCACAGAGGGCGAGAGGGTGAGAGCAGGGCCAGGTGGGATTTGGAGTTTGAGATTTCCTTGCCTTCCAGGCCGTTAGCATTTGGGCCTCAAGACCAGGAAAGGAACCATGCTAGGATCCCAGCTGGGGACTGTGCTGCTGAGCTCGCCCTCTCTCTCCCCTGCTTCCCAATCCCATTTCCAACCTGAGAATAGAGGGGTTTCCTTTCTCTCAACACTCTCCAGCCACAGGACCCCCTCCCCACCACGACTCTCAGGGGAGGGCATGGGTGTGTACAACAGGGGACTGTGTGGGTGAAGTAGTCCTGAGAGGGTGGGTGGGGTGTGGTGGGGTTCATTTGCTTTCTGGGAGCGGGGTCGGATAGGAGAAAGGGGGAGTGGTGCTGCCCTGTGGGGGAGCCCCAGCATTAGGGGCCCCCCCGACTCTCATAACTGCCCAGGCAAAGCTTTTCTGCTTGGTGCCACTTGTTATGCTCCTGTCTGGTGCCCAACCTGGGCTTACTCCTCCTGGAAGGAGTTTGGCAGAAGGCAGGGGAAGGGTGAGGGAGGCACACAGCAAAGGGGAAGCTGGACTTAGGGGTAATGGGACTGGTGGGAGGGGGCACAAGGTGGCAGTTAGGATCTCATAGGATTTCGTGAACCTGGGATCTGTTTCTACTTTACAGATGGGAGAATGGAGGCTCTAAGTTAAGCCGCTCACTTAAAGGCTGCTTATTAGGGGCACAGCCTGACAAAGCTCTCTTCAGCACAGAGCCTTACCCAAGGTCTGTAGGTTTGGGTGGTTGAGGAGGAGAGTGAGGGAATTTAAGGTTCCCAGGTGCAGAAAATGGAGTGGGGACTGCATAAACCACAGCGCTGGAGCGCACTGAGACCTGTCTTTTGCTATATCCCTTCCCTTGGGCCTCAGCCCCTTCCCCAGTTTGCTAGGAGGGGTGAGGGAGATGCTTGTGTGGTGCCCCGGGGGTCCATTGCTGTGGAGGAGGGGAAAGGCCTTGTGTGTCCACTGAGGGCATTGTTGGGTTGAGAGAGAGGCTTGAAGACGCTTCTCAGGATGCCCCAGGGTGGCGGGACAGCACTGGGGTCACACTAGGGATTCCGACGGCTCAGAAAGGTGGGCGCCGCAAGGGACGCCAGAGGGGTTTCCAGGAACAGAGCTGGAATGAGGGAGAACCTCTGGAATGTCCAGAGCTGCAGGGGGGGCACTACTCTGGCAATCCGTGGGGAGGTAAGAAGATTGTGGGGAACAATTCCCGGTGCACGCCAGGCTGAGCAAAGATGTGCATGCGTGTGTGTGTGTGTGTGTGTGTGTGTGTTTGTAGAGGGTGTGGCATCTCGGGGGCGTCTAGCGGAGCTGTGCTAAGGGGCCAGGGGAACAGCATCCGTCTGGGGCCCGTTGGAGCGCGTGGGGGCGGCGGCGGCGGCGCTACCTGGAGGCGCGGTGGCGGGCAGGTGCCCGAACTGCACAGCAATGCAGAGGTCGTTGTCCAGGGGGAACTTGTGGCAGTGCAGCATCTCGGGCCAGGGGAAGCCGTAGGCCTCCATGAGCGGCGCGCAGCCGGCGCGCACGGCCTCGCACAGCGAGCGGCACGGGTAGATGGGCCGGTCGAGGCAGACGGGCGCGAAGAGCGAGCAGAGGAAGACCTGCGTGTCCGAGTGGCAGCGCTTGGCCAGCAGCGGCAGCCAGCTACTCGCCTGCTGCTTGACCTCGGCCAGGCTCTCGTGCTCCAGCAGGTTGGGCAGCCGCATGCGCTTGTAGCCCACGGTGTGGCAGAGCGGCAGGTCGGCGGGGATGTCGAGGCACTGCGGCGGCTTGGAGTACGAGCGCCCGTGCAGCGGCTCGGCCTGCCAGCTGTAGTAGTCGTACTCCTCGCCGCGCGCCGGCGCCCCGAGCGCCCCCAGCAGCAGGGCCAGCGCGGCCGCCCGCACGCCGCACGCCGCCGCCCGCATGGCTGAGCAGGCCCCGACGCTCGCTGCGTGGCGCCCCCACGTGCCTCGGCGTGCGCCCGCCGCAACGATGTTTCCCTGCAGTTGTCACCGCCGCTGAGGTCGCCTAAGTGGGTGGCAGCCGTCGCTCCGCTCCCGGGCGCACTGAGTGATCTTGGCGCCTCCCACCTCGGGGCTCCAGCCCCGGACTCGCCGCGTTCCCCAGCCAATCTCCTGCCGCCCGGCTCACCCGCCAAGGCGGGAAGGCAGGGAGGCAGGGAGGCAGGGTGGAGCCCCGCAGCCCCGCAGCCCCTCCCGCTCGCTCCCGCCCGCCTTTCCCGAAGCCCTGGTCTCTCCCTGTGCCTCTCCCCCGGCTCCCTCGCCTCCCTCGGCATTCTCCGCTCCCCTCGCCTTCTCCATCCTTCCTTCTTATCTTCTCCGCAGCTTCTCCTGGTCCTTTTCTCACTCACTTCACTTGCTTATCTCTTCGTCTCGGCCTTTCCCCCTCCGCTCTGTTTTCTCTTCCCTGACACCTCGGTTCTCCCTTCTCCCACCAGGAGGCTCCCAGCTGACCACACCTTCCAGGTCCAGGCGAACAGGTCTTCTCACTCCGCAACCCTCAAATATTTATCGAGTCCGTCATGGTCGGGTACCGGGCTGGCTGCTGGGGAACCAGAGATGGATATGACCCAGAACCCACCTCCAGGGACATCATAGCCTAGTGGGGGTGACGATAATCATAACCACTGAGTGCTATAGACACTGCACAGCACTTTATAACCCTATTAGCTAGTATTTATTGGGTGCTTACTGTGTGTAAAGTCTCTTCTATGCACATTGGGTAAATTACCTCATTTGATTCTCCTATAGTGCTGTAAGGTGGGTAGGTATTATTAGTATTCCCACTTTACAGTTAAAGGTACTGAAAGAGAAATTAAGTAAGGATTGGTGTCAGGATTCAAACCCTGGTAGTTTGAGCCAGAGAGTCAGAGCCCAGATACAACCCAGAAGTGTGGATTCTGGGTCTGCAGGCATGATGACCGCGGGGGGCTGAGAGAGACACTGCACAGCACTTTATAACCCTATTAGCTAGTATTTATTGGGTGCTTACTGTGTGTAAAGTCTCTTCTATGCACATTGGGTAAATTACCTCATTTGATTCTCCTATAGTGCTGTAAGGTGGGTAGGTATTATTAGTATTCCCACTTTACAGTTAAAGGTACTGAAAGAGAAATTAAGTAAGGATTGGTGTCAGGATTCAAACCCTGGTAGTTTGAGCCAGAGAGTCAGAGCCCAGATACAACCCAGAAGTGTGGATTCTGGGTCTGCAGGCATGATGACCGCGGGGGGCTGAGAGGTGAAGGAACAGGCCCTTGGTCAAATAGCTGATAGGAAAAGGAGCCAGGGTGGTCATCCCCAGCACCTCTCTGTGCTTGGAAGTTTCCTGCAGGGCCAGGGAGTGTAGTGTAGTATAGTAATGGTGCAAGAGCCTGAATTCTGCAGACAGACCGAGCCAGGTTCAAATCCAAGTGCATACATGCTGAACGATGTTGGGCAAGTACTTAGCCATTCTGACCCTCCATTTCCTTGCTTGTAAAATGGAACCACCTCAGCAGTTGTTTTTGTGAGGGGCATACCAAATGATGCATGGAAAGAAAGTCCCAGAACAGTGCTGGTACATGATAGGCACCTAAGAATATTCGATCTTCCAAGGGGTGTGTGACTTCAGAGAAAACGTGGTATGTGTTCTGAAAGCTCCACCTGACACCTTGGCTCAGGCTCTGATTTGTAACTCTGAGCAGCAGTTCTGCCCTATATGCTCCTGCTTACCCCTCCCCTGACTCCTATCCGGGCGTGGCAGGGCTTCTGCTTTCCTGGGAGGTGTGGCCTTGGGCGCTGGTCAGGGTGTTGGAGCTCCCCAGGTGGTGTACAATGTGCTGGCTCTCTGGGCAGCTGGTTGCCTGTGTTCTTGATGACAGTGCTTGCCTGGATAGAGTGAGGCATTGTTCCTGCTGCTGGTTAAATAAGAACTACACATGGTCCGGAGCCTGGTGAGTCTGTACCTGGCAGTTCCAGGGGCTCAAAGGGCAAGAGGGCCAACCTGGAAGCCTTCTGGAAGAGAAAGATAGGCAGTCTTTACCTGGCAACTCTATCTTGGGTCCCCTGAGGCTCCCTGACATAGGTTCCATGATGAAATCATAGAGGAACTCTGTTCACATGAATGGAGCTCAGATGGGGGCTGCCCCAGGGGGCATTTGTTCAGGAATGCTCTCTCTCTGTGGCCAGGTCAGTTGGTTACCCTGGCTCTGTGCCAGAGAAGGGATAAGGCTGCACCCTGATGTGGTATGCCTTTCTGATGAGGCTGGACCTATGCAGCTGGTAGAACACCTGGCATGCTGAGTGTCTGGGCGTCTGTCCATCTTAGAGTGTCTGCAGTCTGTTCTAGGCACACATTTCCCCCAGCTGCTGGAGGGGCCGTTTGTCGAAAAGAATGTGTCTTTGTGGTCTGTTGTGAGCAAAGTTCTATATGGGGACCTCTTAGATCAAACTGGTTAATTATGTTATGAAATCCTTTTTGTTTCTACTTTTTATGGCCTACTTCGGTAGGCATCCAAATGTGGTCAGGGTTGCCCTGAGGGTCCCCAAGTTCCTTTCAGGGAGTGCATAAGGTCAAATTGTACATAACATGAAGGTCCACTCAAAGTACAAGATAGATCAATGGATTTTAAGGAAACAGAGTAAGAAAAGTTTATTGATATGGATTCAGGTACTACATCACAACTAACATTTAAAGAACTACTACATGTCAATTTTTTGGTGGTTCAAAGAAGAATATCCACAATATCTGAAAAGGCTATTAAAATATTCTCATTTCCAACTACATTTGTATGTGAGGCTAAATTTTATTCATATACTTCAACCAAAACATGTAACAACAGACTGAATGCAGAGAGGTAGGAGAATCTGTCTTCTATTAAGTGAGACGAGAGAGATTTGCAAAAATGTAAAGCAATGCTATTCACAAAAATGTCATTTATGTTAACATATAATAGGTTTATTTTTGTTATTTTATATGGATTAATAAATTATCTCATTATTAAATCATGATCTCATTTGGTCCTCTAATGATTTATTTATCTCATTGATCCTTAAGATAGCCCCTTGGAGAATGTAGTGCAGAGTTGCTCCTTCCCACCTCACAGATAAGGAAACTGAGGCTCAGAGTGTGATAGAGACTTACAATAAATAAATTAAAAATTTAAATAAAAGTTTTAATTTTAAGCATGTTAAATATTGATAGGTGTAAACCCATCTTAACAAAAGCTCTTTGACTTAATCTAAAAACCTTAATAATTTTTAAGAGTGTAGAGAGGTCCTGATAAAAAGTTTAGGAACTACTGGTTTACTTATCCTGTTCATTTCTGACTGAGGTGTATAAAATCTACTTTGTGAGTTTGCCAATTTTTCCTTCTTTTTTCTTTTGAGTCTGTTCTGCTTTATATACGTTGAAGTTATGTTGTTAGGAACATAATTCATGATTATTCTATGTTCTGGTTAGATTGTAATTTCTATTCATATGAAATAGCCTTCTTTGTTTCTTGTATTACTTTAGTCTTGGGAATAATAATTCCATGAACCAACATTCTTGGAGACCCTATGGTCCAGGTGTACACATGACAGTCTCAGTCCCTGTCCATGTGCAGGAGACAGACACACAAAGTCAATGTAGCATAGTGGGAAGAGTCTGGGCTTTGAGTCAGACTGACTGATGGTGAATTCTGAGCAATTCCTAGTTGTGTGTCCTTGGACAGATGTCTATTGCCTTTTTTTCTTAAATTTTTAAAATATTGGTATCATTAATATACAATTACATGAGCATTATTGTGGTTACTAGATTTCCCCCATTATCAAGTCCCCACCACATACCTCTTTACAGTCACTGTCCATCAGTGTAGTAAGATGCTATAGAGTCACTACTTTGTCTTCTCTGTGCTATACTGTCTACCCATGCCCCCCCACACTCCCACTACATTATGTGTGCTAATCGTAATGCCCCTTATTCCCAATGCTCTCTCTCTGTGGCCAGGTCAGTTGGTTACCCTGGCTCTGTGCCAGAGAAGGGATAAGGCTGCACCCTGATGTGGTATGCCTTTCTGATGAGGCTGGACCTATGCAGCTGGTAGAACACCTGGCATGCTGAGTGTCTGGGCGTCTGTCCATCTTAGAGTGTCTGCCGTCTGTTCTAGGCACACATTTCCCCCAGCTGCTGGAGGGGCCGTTTGTCGAAAAGAATGTGTCTTTGTGGTCTGTTGTGAGCAAAGTTCTATATGGGGACCTCTTAGATCAAACTGGTTAATTATGTTATGAAATCCTTTTTGTTTCTACTTTTTATGGCCTACTTCGGTAGGCATCCAAATGTGGTCAGGGTTGCCCTGAGGGTCCCCAAGTTCCTTTCAGGGAGTGCATAAGGTCAAATTGTACATAACATGAAGGTCCACTCAAAGTACAAGATAGATCAATGGATTTTAAGGAAACAGAGTAAGAAAAGTTTATTGATATGGATTCAGGTACTACATCACAACTAACATTTAAAGAACTACTACATGTCAATTTTTTGGTGGTTCAAAGAAGAATATCCACAATATCTGAAAAGGCTATTAAAATATTCTCATTTCCAACTACATTTGTATGTGAGGCTAAATTTTATTCATATACTTCAACCAAAACATGTAACAACAGACTGAATGCAGAGAGGTAGGAGAATCTGTCTTCTATTAAGTGAGACGAGAGAGATTTGCAAAAATGTAAAGCAATGCTATTCACAAAAATGTCATTTATGTTAACATATAATAGGTTTATTTTTGTTATTTTATATGGATTAATAAATTATCTCATTATTAAATCATGATCTCATTTGGTCCTCTAATGATTTATTTATCTCATTGATCCTTAAGATAGCCCCTTGGAGAATGTAGTGCAGAGTTGCTCCTTCCCACCTCACAGATAAGGAAACTGAGGCTCAGAGTGTGATAGAGACTTACAATAAATAAATTAAAAATTTAAATAAAAGTTTTAATTTTAAGCATGTTAAATATTGATAGGTGTAAACCCATCTTAACAAAAGCTCTTTGACTTAATCTAAAAACCTTAATAATTTTTAAGAGTGTAGAGAGGTCCTGATAAAAAGTTTAGGAACTACTGGTTTACTTATCC